CAGGTGTGCAAACTGAGGCTCTCCCCATGAGAGAGGGACCTGGGGCTGAGATGTGACTCCAGGCTGCCCGGCTCCAGAGCACCGGCTCCACACCAGAGCTACACGGTACCACCTTCCACCCGGACTCCGGAATTTCAGGGGCACTCTCCCAGCCCCAGCTGGGTGCTCCGAGAAGGCAGGGGCCTTAGAGCAGCTGAGCCCAGGCTGGGCGGAGACTGACGTCCCTCCTCGGCCAACACTTGCCCCTGCTCCGCTGATTCACCCCATCCCCTGCCTCCTCTCCCTAGCCCACCCGCCCGCACCCCCCACCCCTGCCCACACAGGCTCACCCTGGAAGTTCCCTCCTGCCACGGAGCTTGTCCCATGCAGAGGCCCCTTCCCGCTCCCCCTGGAATCCCAAGGTCCTCCATCCTAGCCATCGTGGCAGCTGCCCACTCCCCTGCCAAGCCTCCGGCCATCAGCCCAGCCACTGGCCTCCCCGAAGGCAGAGGCTCAGACGGTATTGGTCCAGGATGAAATGCGGCCCCAGAAGCAATTACTAGGGTAGCGTGAGCTGGGCCTCCCTGGAGACGAGGTGGAGGTCCCACGCCATGATTTCCTGTCTGTCGCTGCAGTAAATCCCCACGCAGAGGAGGTTGGCTCTTCGTCATGACTGATGGTCCCTGCTGGGCTGCGTCTGTCCTCAGTCCCATGGCAGGGCCGTCCACTGGCACGGTGATCCATCTGTCACTGCCCCACAGCCCCTGGGTGACGGGCAGAGTGGGGCTGAGCTCCAGCCCCCCAGCTGTGTGCTCTCGAGGTTTGGGGACACGAGCTTGTCTGCCTCATTCACTCAGAGGACACCCTTCCCTGATGTCCACCAAGGCCCCGTGTGGCCCGCAGTGTCCCTGGCCGGACAGCACCAAAGCCCAAAGAGGAGCCTCAGGGAAAGGCCAGCCAGTGCGGCAACCCCTCCCTTGCTCCCTCCCCGCTTGACAAGCCACACTGGAGCCGCTCCTCTCCAGCCCTGGTGCCAGCGCAGCCCAGGCCCCCGCAATCTCCCTCCAGGACCCGCTACAGCCCCCTCTCTGGTCTCCCTGCCTCTGCCCTGCACCCTGTGTCCCAGGCCTTCCCCACACACAGCCAGGATGATCTTCCCCAATGCAGAGCTGATCGTGTCTGCCTCTTAGAACCCTCCTGTCAACAGCTCCCTGTGGCCTTCAAGGGGAAGCCCAAACTCCTTGTTGTAACTCACAAGGCCCCACACACTCTGACCCCTGTCCACTGCTCAGCAGCAGACCTCGTGCCCTTGCCCCGAGCTCCAAGCTCTGTCCTGTCATAGGGCTGCACGCAACCACACGGTATTCCTCTCCACGCCAGGGCCTTTGCACATGCTGTGACTTCTGCCCACACTTCCTCGCTGCCTCCTCTTCATCCTTCAGTCCCTGCTGCGATGGCCCTCATCCCTCCCGGGTAAGTCAGGTTTTTTCCTCAGCTCGCCTACATAGCACTTCTCACAGGCTGATGCGATACTTTCATCGCTAGGATTATCTGAGCCATCCCTGTCTCTGCGCTGGAATACACACTCCCTGAGGGCGAAGCTGGTGTGTCTGACCCACCGTGGCAGTCTCGGGGGGTGGCTCAGAGCCAGGCACACAGAAGCGCCTAGCAAATCGTTCTTGGATGCCGATGCCTCCGGCCCGGCGCAGGTCCGCGGTGGTCTCGGGATTTGAATCAACTCCGCAGCCCCAGGGGCTTTCCTCCGTCCCCACTTCGTCCCAAGCAAGGGGTCCGGCCCCGGCAGCCGCAGCTCTTCCCAGGGATGAGCCTCCCCCAGCTGGCTTCTCCTCAAGCCTGGCTGCCCGACGGACACCATGAATCAAGGTGACGTTTCCATTACCCACAGGAGACGCGCAGACACGTGCAGGGCTGTTGTGTGTCCCGGGCCAGCACGTGCACAGGCGAGCGTGGCGGGGCCGGCGGGAGCACGCAGGCGTGGCTGAGTGCCGGGCACGCGGTCAGCACACGTGCACACGCGGGCGCCAACTCAGCTGTGCGCTGTCCACACGAGGGCAGGTGGATACAGGCACGCTGGGCGCAGGTGCCCGGCAGCGAGGCTGTGGGGAACTCCTCGGGGCTGTGGGTCAGGCCAGCGTGCGGGCCCAAGACCGAAAGCCCGCCCCCAAAGCCACAGCCATTCCAACCGTCAGTGCAGGGGAGGGAGCTGGGACAGCCAACTGCAGGGGCAGGAGGAGCGGCCTTTGCTTCCCCACCTAGGCCTCTCTGTGTTCCCCCAGGCACCCCTGCCTGCAAACCAGGTGGTCCTCCCTCCTCCCAGACTTGGGCAGACAGCGGCGTTTGCTCCCCGCATGAAGACAACCCTCCCAGTAATTCTCAGTAGTGACCCATTGGGATCACTCACCCGGCCTGCCTGGAAGTGCTTCCTTTTTTCTGACCAGCAGCCTTCCTGCTGCAGGCTCCGCGAGACTGAAAGACAGCTAGTTCTCAGCCCCTGTTGGGGAGGTGCCCAGGAGGAGACAGGAGGAGACAGGAAGCCTCTTACCTCCTTCCCTTCCCCTCCTGGCCTGTGCAGGGGGTAAGAATGGCCCATGTTTGAGCCGTCCACATACCATAATCACATACCAGTTGCGTGACTATTTATTTAATATTTTTCTTTAAGTCGACTCTTTCTTTCTACTTAAATGCCTACTTTGGTTTCATCCTAAGCAACGATGTCCATGAAATCATGGCACTCATGTATACATTTTTTTCCTAATACACATTTACATAAACACAACTATTAAAATAGATTAAAATTTTGCCCGTGTGTCAGCTGAAATCATCTCCTGGACCTCTGTGGTCCTCTTGCCAACTTCAGAAGGACCCGGGTGAGAATAAAGAGATGCCCGGTGCCCCAGGCGGGATTCCTGCTGGATACGTCCCTGCCTGGCCCCACATCTGTGTGGTTTCTTCCCGCCCAGGAGCCAAAGCCCGAACTCCTCGCCCTGACATTCAAGGCCTTGGTAACTAGGTCCCCATCTCTCTCCCAGACCTGTCTCCCGCCCCACACAGTAGGTCACAATATTTACTGAATGAATGGGAAATGGATTAATGAATCACTCACTCGATTGATCAATGCATGAATGAATGAATGAGCACGCACCTCCACCCGGGTGTCCCCCGGGCACCTGAGACTCAAGACCTCTGGCCCTGCCCCACCCAAGCCTACAGCCAGAGAGTCACAGCCAACTCCCCCCCGACACATCGGTCCACCCTCGCCCGCTGACTCTCCCTCATGAGCAGCTCCCGAGTCTGCTCTCATTGTCCTGCCCCGGGGCCCTTTGCTGACCCAGACCACCTCTTCTCTCCCTTCGAGTGTGGTAAAGATGAGGAAGGGGGCCATGCCGCCCACTCTCTTCTCTGCCCACCTGCCTAGAAAGTACAGCTGGGGGCTTCCCCTCTGCCACTGGCCCAGGGACCAAGTCTAGGCATCTCAAGGAGGCTTCAAGTCCCTCTGGCCTGGCTCCCCCACCCTCCCAGCCTGGTTTCCCACCACCCTCCTCTCCACTCCTGCCATCTGGACTATTTCAAAGTTCTTATAATGTCCCCAACCTTCCTCTCCCTCTACACTCTTGCCTGCCTGACATCTAGATGACCTTCATGTCTTGGCTTAAATGTCATTTTCCCAAAGGAGCCTTCCCTGACCACCACTACCCCCACCCGGCAGGCCTCTGGGCTCCCCCAGCCCCCGACTTCCCCTCACTGAGGAAGAGCAAACACCAACAAGCATTTACTATGTGCCAGGCTCCGTTCTAAGTGTTTCACGTACATTAGCTCATTTAACCCTCAGACGAGCTGTAAGAGGTAGGTATGATGATTATCCCCATGTGCCCATGGGGACGAGGCACAGAGAGGTCAGGTAACTTGCCCAAGGTCTCAACTGGAGGAGCTGGAATCTGAAGGCAGGCTGCCTGGCCCCGGCACCGGGCACCACAGCACTTCACACGCTCTACCATACACTGCACTATATACACACACTGCACTGTAATCGTCTGTCCAGTTGCTGGCCCTGCCCATCTGTGAGCTCTGTGAGCAGAGGCACCCTCTCTGGATAGTTCAGTATCCTAGCTCAAGTGCCTACCACAGCGCTTGGCACATAGTAGGGGCACAATGATATATCATTGCAGAGATGGAAACAGATGTGGTTGATAATGAGGATGGGTGATGCATGAAAGAATGATGGATGGAGGGATGGATGGAGGGATGGATGGAGGGAAGAATGGATGATGGAGGGAGGGATGGATGGATGGATGGACGGATGGACGGACGGATGGAGGGATGAATGGATGGATGGAGGGATGGAGGGATGGATGGACGGATGGATGGACGGATGGAGGGATGAATAGATGGATGGAGGGATGGATGATGGAGGATGGATGATGGATGAATGATGGATGGATGATGGATTTATGGAAGAGTGAAGAACATTCTCTACTTGAGGGAAAGCTCTAGAAATCCTTCTGGGAAGGGATGAGGCCTCTTGGAGTCAGGAGTCCTGGTTCAAACCCCAATTCTGCCATTTGCTGGCTCTGTGATCTTGGGCAAGTCACATCACCTCTGTGACCCTAAGTTCCCTCGTCTGCATAATAGGAATCTGAGCCCTAGGGGTTGATGTAAAGGTGGCTCTAGACAGAGAGTAAGGGTCCCCGTGGGGGTCAGGGTGGCTTAGGGCCTGGGTTTGAGGGCTTGTCTCTTGCCCACCTCACAGGTCCCTCCTGCCTGGCCCCCACCCTGCCCACCCTCTGGAACCCAAGGCAGCCTGGCCGCCTAGCCCCATCCTGACCCCGCGCCCCAGGCCCAGCCTCGGCTCTAGGCTCCCTCCCTCGCACACCCTCATCCGGCCCTGACTGACCCGGCACCCTCAGGGCTGTCTCACCTTCAGGCTCCTTGAGGACCAGATCAGGTGGTGCCAGAGGGGACGGCCACAGCCCAGACAGCAACTGGCCTCCACACACAGCAAGAAACCAGGTTCCACAAGCATTTATTGAGCCCCTGCTGTGTGCCTGCTGTGGGACCCCCGTGGTGCCAGCGCCCCTGCCCCTCCTTCAGGAAGCCCCCCACCCGCCCCTGCAGGGCTCTCCACCGCTGGCCATCTCCTGAGCCTCCTGGCTGGCTCGTTGGTCCCCAGGCTTTCAGTGACCGACGTCCATGTCTTTCCTGGCGTACCGGCTGCCCCCAGCAGGGCTCTGCATATGATCACGGTGGCAAGGGTTAGGAGTGGCTGTCCCCAAGTCGCTCTGTGCAGCCCTGTGCATTCCCTCAGGCTACCCCGGCCCCATTTCCAGGGCCCTGAGACCCAGGCAGCGCTGGGCAGGGCGGGCCTGGGGTCTCCCACGCAGGCTGGCGGAGTCCACAGCACATGGGCCAGGTTTCCAGGGGTGCCAAGCCAGTGGTCATGAGGCAGGGGGCTGGTGCCAACAACGGCCTGAGGTCGGGGTGCCAGGCTGGGTCTCTGTCACACCCAGTGCCCCAGGACCCAGCACTGGCGGTTCAGCTCTGGTGCCTCCTGTGCAGAGCTCCGGGGCCAGGAATCTCCCATGTGTGGCTGGTGTCCTGCCAAGAGACGAGCAGGTCAGCACTGACAGCGGCCATCCTCCACCCCCGCCCCCTCTGCCCACCACCCCACCGGCTCACCGTCCACCCGCCGCACACCCACTTCCCACCCCCGGTTGCCAGGCCTTCCACCCACCCTCTAACACTCCTGCCCACTCATCTACCAACCCACACCCCGCTATCTCCCCACTGTCCCCTCTTCAGCTCACCATCCACCCACCTGCTCTCCGCCCCATCCTCCACTCGTCACCCACCAGTCCCCCATCATCTCCCATCACACACCAGTCCCCCTATCATCCACCTGTCACCCACCAGTCCCCCTATCATCCACCTGTCACCCACCAGTCCCCCTATCATGGACCCATCCATCACCCACCAGTCCACCAACACATCTGTAACCTAGTCATACATTTCCCAGTATCTGCTGTCATCCACCTGCCAACCCACCAATATACCTGCCACTCCACTCACACACTCTTCCCACCCACAACCCCCCCACAGCCCTTAAACCCACTCATGCACCTCCCACCAGTCCACACACCAGCACTCCCATCATTGCACCATCCATCCTCCTACCCTCCATTAACATACCCACCAGGCCAGTTCCCACATACACACCTACCTACAACCCAAAACGTCCACATATCTATCCAGCCATCCACCCTCCAACTCACCTGCCTACTGGTCTACTTCCCAGCCTGCTGACACATCCACTAACTCACCGTTTCCACCCCCATGCGCCCACCCAACCCTCCATCCTCCTGCCCCCTGCCCCCTAACTACCCATCCAACAATCCCCACCGTACCCACCGACACTGCACACCCACTGCCCACACGTTCACCCGCCCCACATCAGGCCATCCATCTGCCCCGTCAGGCCTCCCTGAGCTCCGCCGTGTGCTGCCACGGCTCAGGGAGCTGTGGGAGGGTTAGAAGAACAAGTGTGACAATTCCTGGCCCCAGGCTTTACTTGACCCCAGGGAAAAGTGAGCGAGCACGTGGGTGTGCCCCAAACTGTGAGTAGCTCTGTGGGCCAAGGCAGTGGGCAGAGACTCTGCGCCCTCCTCACTGCCCACCACTCTTAATGGCCTGGGCCAAGCGTAAGGGCTAGGAGGCTCGTCCTGATCCAACATGCTCACTCTTGTGTTTTCCCCGATTCTTGGAAGCTCACTCCCTGCCTTCGAGCAAGAGCCTCCTTAACATCTTTCTAACACACCAGAGCCGTCTCCATCTCCATCCCGTGGTCTGCCTAAAATCTTTGTACCTACTGTGCATCGAACCCTCCAGGCCCAGCTCAAGTCTCCCCTCCTGCAGGAAGCCCCCCACAGCCTCTCCCCAGCCCTCGGGGGTCTCGCTCATCTTGGAGCACCCACCCTGAGTGGCACTCCCCAGCTTTGCCCCCATTAGACCGTGAGCCCAGGAAAGCGATGGCTCAGCCCGTGGAGGATGCTCCGCAGTGGATGGATGGAGGTAGAACGCAGAGAGGAAAACAGGAAGGAGGGCCTGGCATGGTGGGTGGGCTGGTGGGCTGGAGGGTGAGGAAGAAAAGTAACGGTCTATACACCCTACTAGATTCTAGTCCCATAAGCCTGTGAGGTCGCTGCCTCCCACTTTACAGAGGAGGTAACCGAGACTCAGCAAGGATAAGCGGCCGCTCAGGATTCACAGCCACGATGGAGCTGGATTGAATCAATTTCTTCCTGATGCCACACTTCCGCATTAAAAGAAATTTGTTCCATGTTGCTTTGTTTTCCTACTTGGAGCTCTAACAGATGCTCAGACATTCTTTTCATCCTTTAGGGGCAGACAGGCCCCATGAGGTGGGAATTCATGCTGAAGCCAAGCTCCTGCTTGCACACCTCCAAGAACAGACAGCTCATTACTCTTCCTTCACCCCAAAGCGGCTCTGACTGTTAGAAGATTCTTCCTAATAACAAAGGCTGGAAGGCAACAGGCAAAGATGAAGAAGGTTGAGCCAACAGTGGGGGGCATGTATGCATATTTTTTTTTTGCTTTGGCTTTTTTTCTGTTTTAATATTCTTTTTTTTTTTTAATTTTATTTATTTGTTTTTTCCCCCAAAGGTCCAGTAGATAGTTGTATGTCATAGCTGAACATCCTTCTAGTTGCTGCATGTGGGACGCGGCCTCAGCATGGCCGGAGAAGCAGTGCGTTGGTTGGCGCCCGGCATACGAACCAGGGCCACCAGCAGCGGAGTGCGTTCACCTAACCACTAAGCCACGGGGCCGGCCTGTTATAATATTCTTAATGTTGGCGCTTTGCTAGTTTTACTATATTTTAAAAAGTAAAAAGTGGGAAACATTTGGCAAACATTCTGGAATCGTTTGGCCTCAGGAAAAACATTTGTTTTGGCCCCAGTCACTGAAACAGTGGCACTCTTTGCAAGTGCTTGCTGCCAAGACATAGGTGTTTGAATTTTTTTTAATCTAGAATAAATATTTGGTGTACAGAAAAGTTTGATTGTTTTTCTAAATGAGTGTTTAGAAGTGATTGTAGCTGCTCTCGCTGTTGCTAACAGGCAGAACCTTGGAGAGTTCATTGGAACAGAGAGACAATGATCGTGTATTTTTAAGGAAAAAGAAAGGCCATCATCCCTCCCCTTCCTTGAGTTAAAACCAGCACCTTGTCCCCTGGGTCTGGAGGTCAAGCCACCGAGGACCGGGCCCTCCTCCCCTCTCCAGCCCCCCGGGAGGGGCCCAAAGCCGTTTACAGTGAGGAGGGGGCCGCTCTGTCCTCCCCACACCTGAGAAGCACCCCGCAGCCCACCATGACTCCCCACTCACTTCCCTCCACCAAGTCTCTTTACTTTTGGGCTATCACCAGCAAGAAAAAAAAAAGCTGTCTGCTGTAGACTGGAGAATCCCACCTCAAAAAGCCTACTGCCCAAGCAAATGACATAAAGGGGTGAAGGGGCCAGAAGCAGCCATTCCTCAGCTCTGGCCAATTGTCACCATGGGGAACGTGAGCTCAGATCTTCCAAAAAGCTAACAGAAACTGAAAATCAGGATTTTGAAATAAAATCTCCTGGTTTTAAATGATGACAACTAAGGTTTTTAAAACATCATCCGTGGGCCAAGTAGCGTCTCTCAGGCTGGACTCAGCCCACAGGAGGCCATTTTTCTGACCTCTGACTGTTTCCAGGACTGCATCTCTGTTCCATGACTCTGTGCTGTGGCCTTGCACATTCTGGTCCCTCGGCCAGGTGCCCTTCCCTGCTGTTCTCTGGCTACTGAGTCCCCCACTCCTCTTTCAAGTGCTCCCTCCTCTGGGAAGCACTGCGTGACCTCACAGGCAGAAGCCTCGCTCCCTCCTCTGTGCCCCCACAACACGCTGCATATCCCTCTCTCCCTGCGCTGGTCGAGACAACAACTTTGTGTTGCCAAGGTCTCCCCAACTAACCTGGGGACTCAACGGGTCCCCAGGGACTGGGGTCCAAAGGGTCTGGATCTGCTTCATCCTGGAGCCCTCGGCCCCCAGCACCCGGCCGGGCACAGAGCAGGTCCCAAGCTGACTTTTTATAACCAATGAAGAAACCGTGCAGGAGGATGGAGTGATTCCTAGGCTTGAGAGATGAGCTCTGCCCTCCTGTCCTATTATGAGATTCTGTATATTACGAAAGGCTCTTTGCTCAGCGTCTCCTCCTTTGAATACAGGCTCAGGGGGCAAAAACTGTACTTGGAGTCCAACAGTCAAAGGTTCAAGTCCATGCTCTACCGCTGACAAGCTGTGTGAACTTTTTTTTTTAAAGCTGTGTGACTTTTGACAAGTAACTTCACCTCAGAGCCTGCAAAAGGATGTGAGTTACAAAGGAGTCAGCAGGCCCAGCAGGCCCCCTGCTGCAAGTCCTCCATTGTCCGACCTCAGACAGACGTGAAAATAACAAAATACCAGTACTGCAGGTGGGTCCAGCCACCTCTCTTCACAGATGGGCAAGCTGAGGCCCATCGGTGGAAGAGATTTGTCCAAGGTCCTACTCAGAGGGCTGGTAGCAAGTACTGTGTTTCAATTCCCCCAGAACATCCCAGGCTTAGCAGAGTATTCAGCCCATAGGAGGTTCTCAGAAGACGTGATTTTTCTTCCCTTTTTATTCCAAATGGCAAAACATGAACATATTTAACATCCAGTCCCTTCCAGTCCGCACTTCCCAATCCTCCTGTGGGAAATCACTGTCTTAAACTCTCTCCAGGGCACCAAGGTCCCGGGGGATCAGCTCTTAGCTCTGCTGAATTGAATGAAATCACACCCACGGATCCAAAATGGATTCACTGGGTTGGAAGGGCCCTTCAGGACGAAGAATGCCGATGCCACCACAAGTGTGCAGATGGGGGAACCAGAGCACTTACAGGGGAAGTGATGTGTCCAGATGCTCTGAAGCTGGCAGAGGAATAGTCAGGGTGGGCAGGCCCCAAGGGTGGGCAGGTGGGTGGTATTGGTGCCTCTGACCCCATAGCAGCCCAGTCGGGCATGGGAAGAGCCGGACTCCTTTATGAAGAGCACCTTCTGGCCACTCACCCTCCCACTGTCCGAGGTGCTGAAGGCCTCTCTCTAGGACTCCTGGGCCCATCCAGCGCCTCCTGTCCAGCTGCCTAATCTTGAACTCTCACCTCTAGAAAGAGATGGGATGTGGGGAGCCATGGAGAAATGAATCAAGGTTGGCACAGAGATGGCTTTGGAGACCCTTCAGCTAGTGACACCGTCATCCCTCTTCTGTTGTAACAACCTTGGTGAGGGCACCCTGGCTGCCTCTCCAAGTTGACCTTGCTCTGTAAGTCTGCACTGTCAGGGGCTTCAGAGGCTCCATCGCATCTGGTACCGTCCGTTTACTGGTTTCCTCCCAGTCTCCCCTACTAGGCTGTATGTGGACACAGAGTAGCTCTGCTTTTATTCATCACTGTGTCCCCAGTACCCAGCACAATTCCAGACACAGTATTGATAGTACAGATCTGTTGAATGAATAAACAATGGAAGATTCAGGAAGAAG